CCCCAAAACCCCAAAACCCCAAAACCCCAAAACCCCAAAACCCCGAACTTTATTCGTAAGGCTGATTAAAACAAAAATGTCGAGTTTATTTAAACGAAAAATTTGATGAAATTAGTTAGCATCCTGCTTTGATTCCAAAGTAGGAATTGAAAATAGCTCCTCCTTACCTTCCACTTGAAGGTTGTCATACCTCTTGAACCCAGTTCCTCCAGAAGAGAATGTTGGGACAGCAGGCTTAGGATGTCCTGGGAGGTTTATAGAATTATCTGATTGGGAGATACATTCCCCTTCGAGGAAAACATCCAAGCTTGGGTTATTTACCTTCGGACAGCTTTTGATCTTTGGTATTTTTAACAAATTTTCAGAACTAATCTTCTCTTCTCCCTTTTTCTGGACCTGACTATTAAGCAAGGCACTCAAGTCATTTGGCTTTGGAAGCCCAGGCAAGTTGACCATGCTCGGCAAAGAAGCTATTTTTGAGATATCTGACAATGAAGTCAAAAGATTGGTATTAAGCCCATCCATAGGACTATTAAAGAGATTTTGAGGCATTGGAGCCTTACTCTGTTCGCCCATCATTAAAGATAGGATCAAAATTGAATTCAAATTTCCAAGCCCGCCATTGCCAGGTGAAAAAGAGGGACGATTGTTGGAAATTTTGTCCACAATATTGCCAAATTCCTTAACTAAGTTCTTGATCAGCAGCAGGACTTCATCTTCACTATAAAATCTCTTGCCACTGCTTTGTTCTAGAGATGTATTTATGCCGCTTTCTCTCACAGTGTTGTCCAGATACTTCATTTCGTCTGGATTCAGGGAATTCTCAGCAGTTCCAACTTTGGATTTGAATATGGAATCTTCCATTTTAGGGATCGATCTATAGAAATTTTCGTAAGAATTCAGCACTAAAACCTTGGAATAAGGTTAAATTTTGACTATAAGTTTATGTCCATTTTGAAAATAGAGATCCTGCATATTTAAAACCAAATCTACTGAATCTATTGCCGCCAAGATCTTTTAGAAGGACAATTTTAAGATACGGAAATCTAGTGTAGCTTAGATCCCAAGATCTGGCATTTTATCGATACTAGAAAGGGGAAATGTACTTTTTAAGCCCAACGCGCTAATAAGTTCAGGGAGAATAGTCGTGGCTCACCCAGACTAAGCATGGTACACAAAGAAAGTCTGGACTAGTTATGATATAAAGATGTTTACAATTATAAAATTTGGGTGAAGAGGTTGACAGATTAGTTATGTAGGAAATCTCAAGTAGAAGTAGTTGACCGTAGTAATATTCTAAAATCCTCCCTTCTAAGATATATTGGTTAATACTACTACTAATTGTCTAATATCCCACCAAAATCTTTTCCAAAGAGTGTTCAACTAATATTCTGTAAGATAGGCTCTCGAAAATTGAGAAATGAATGGTTTTTGAATTATTTTGTCCTTTCCATACCTATTTTTCAACCTGCGAGTTTTGTCGTGTTCTTTCTTTGTAGACCTCTTTAACTCTGTCAGACTAAATAACGAGGTTGCTGAACCCTTATTTGAAGAGGAAGGGCTGCTAGTACCTTCATGCTGCTGCTTTTCTTTGTTTACTTTGTTAAAATACTTCTGTGCGTGGCTTCTGATCTGAGGGCCAGTTCTAGTTCCCACAAGACGCTCAATCTTCTTCCAGTCTCTGCCATACATCTTCACACCCTTGAGAAATAGTTCGTGTTCTTCTGCCTTCCATCTCCCTCTATCTAATTTTGCAGCAGGTTTTAAGGAGAAAGTACTTGAAAGAGAGCATGAATTTTCTTCTTTCATACTTAAAAATAATTTTAATTTAATATTTCCTCAGTTTAAAATCCGGTTTTAGGGGTTTTGGGGTTTTGGGGTTTTGGGGTTTTGGGGTTTTGGGGTTTTGGGG